GACAGGGTTATAATAATTGTGGCAATATGGTTGGAATAAGAATTCTGATTAGTAATCCAAAAGAATTGTTTACAGCTTGTGGAAGTGATAGTTGGAATTTGATTTTGTTTGACGCAGCTAATTATTCGACAACAAGAAAAATGTTTTTCGGATTTATCAATAAAAAACTAAATAAAAATTGACCTTAAATATTTTTCTGAAACAAGATAGCACAGTAGAATCGAACAATAAAAGCGATATTTTTGCAATTTGATGATTTTATTGAATCTGTGATGACCTGAGAATTAAAACTGATGATTCTGATCCTTTAAGCGATTGTGAAGCAGTCCTGAGTAAAATGCTAACTTTCGAGTTTATTGCTGCAATATATGCGTAATTCAAACGTTTACTACGAGTGAACAATATAAATTAACTATGGCGACTGAAGTAAACTAAAAGATCACTATTGATAGATAGTCTACGCTCATTTCGTACGTGGTTAAAGACTATCGTAATACTGGATTTGAAAAACTGTTGAACAATTCTAATTCTTTGTAGAAAAAAGTAGTTACGAAATTGCACCTAAATTTGAAGAAGAAGTAATAGCAAAGAAGAAACGATTATTTAGTTATAAACATTTTGATTAATCAATAAAATCCGTTGAAATGTAGTACAAAGTAAACTTTTTTATTACATTATAGATGGTATCATAATTGCTACCGACAGTTGATTCAAAGCACTTAATGGATATTTTGAACAATTTGGTTTCATTTATGACATTAATTATATGAAAAGTTAATGGTTTAGGTATAATACTTCGGGAAGGTGAAAACAGCGACAGCCTTTTAAACTGTATGGGGAACTGTTTTTAAAATCGAACTCAATAAACTCAATCAACGATATACTCCTAAAGCAACTCATCCGATATATTAAGGAAAATAATTTAGACGAAGTTTATCTGAATGTCTATACCTATAATAACCAGAATCATGCTCACAGTTCTAGTGAGTACAAGTTTTGCTGAAAGAAGCTTTTCAACAGTAAAATTGATTAAGACCTACGTGAGAAGTAAGATGAGCCAAGAGAGATTATCTGCATTGACAGAAAGCAGGAAAATTCATTTATTTTAATTTGATTAGCAATAAAATTTTTATACATGCTTCATCGTATTTGTGAATGTAAATTATTTACTTTTATAACTCAGTAATAGGGGGGGCCCGCAAATCTGATGATCTGATATGATCTGATCCCAGAGTTATTCTAGCTCCGCCACTTTCGCAACATAAACTAAACGATTGTTAAAAATGTTTCTGTGCCTAAACTTTGTTAATTGTTAATTCATTGTATTTTTTATAGAAAAGCAGATTTAAACATATGTAATAGCGGTTTAAGACCTGCTAGGTACTGCAGTAGAGTAGCCAAAGCTTTAGCTATGACAATTTTCCCGGTATTTGGTAAAACACCAGCTGATTCTTATTGTTGTGAAGTATTGCACAAAACCTACATACTTATGTATGAATGAAAAAAAAAGCAATGGCAAAAAATTTAAAACTGTTCCCAATATATATATGTATATGTATATATTTTTGCAAATATATTGTATGAATAATTAAACAAAAATCAAGACTGCTTAAACGAGACAAAATTTGTTTTGCTTGCCACTTTTTCGGATGTTATTAGATAGAGAGCTTCGGTTTTCAGAAATCGTCGTCTGTATTGTTTCTAACATTAGAAAACGAATGTTTTTCAATATTCGCATTCTGATGCTGCCTGAATAAAAAAAGCTTTCACTTTTGTTGTATTACCACTCTCAATGTTATAAAGTTAAATTTATCTATTAATTGAATGGTAAACATATTGATACCAAACAAAAACCTTTGGAATGAGTAAAGAAATAGCATAACCAAAACAATTACAAAACAACGATAGAAGCAACATGACAAATTGGAAAAAGTACTGCTTTGGAATCATTTAATTAAAAAGCCTATAGTTTGAAACTGAAACTGGATGACTGGTATCGCTAATTATTAGCCTTTGATTAGCATCTTGAAAAAAAAAATGGAAATTAAAAAACATTATCTAAAAATATTACATATTTATTATTGTGTAGTTACTTCATATCACATCATATTATTTTATGTTTAATACATTCAGCAGTTTGTCTGAGGTTGAAATTGGCATGTCTACACACAATGTGCGCCATTTAAAATACTCAAAACTGGATTTCTATAAACTGCGAAAATTATAAATGTACATATTAATGATATGATCTCATTTATTCGGAACGCAAACAAGAGAGATATTCAAATAACAAGGGAACAGAATACACTTTTTTACAGAGGCACATTATTGTATAATATATGTATGTTTACAAATCAAAATTTAATAAAAATGCCCAAATACAGTAATATGGAGGTGAACTGACTGTATATTAACAAACAAATTTAGAAGATATGTAGGCGATATATTTATTAACATTGTAGTGGTTTGTTCTTTAAACAGGTGCATATTAAATAGGTAAATACTTGCCTACAGTAATTAAAATGTTTTCCAAATTTATGTTCAACTTTGTAAAGGCATTAAAAGGATTTAAATTTAACTCATATTTTCTCTAAGTCATCACTTCAGTTAAATTCAATCACAAATATTGGTTATTCTATGAAAATATTTTGCAATATAAATGCAGTTTGTTCAAAAAAACGTATTTAATTTATCCCACTAATGTATTATATACTGTACTGTGGTCCTGTATTATTAAAGTACTAATACACACAAAACAATTCAACCTATAAATAGTTTATTGACAGACAGTGTCTTCTATTCTCATAAAATGCAAAAATTGTTTTGATCATTTTTTTTGTGTTAAAAATAATAATATTCGTTCAGTAAAAAGTTGTTTATATTTATGTTTTGTGAAGGAGCAAAGATATATATAACACAATTGAAAAACGTTATGAATATTAATGTTGCGAATTATTATGTATTGGTTTAGTATTGTAAAATTTTTAATAATACAATTAATTTATATATTAAAGATGTTCACATACATTTATATCAATAACTTTCTCGTTTATAGAACTTAGCGCAAACCCGACGCAACAGCACGAATTAATAGCTTTCGCTTTACTAAACAAATTATATATTGTTAATATAAAAGCACGATCTCATAAGTAGATCACAATCACAATCAGTGAAAAAGCTTCAATGATGATATCATTGATGAACAAAAAAGTTTTCGCTTACTAGAGGTTACACCTGGCAGTTGAATGTTCACAAGTCACACACATATTATTGCCGAAATGAGTTCGAATTTCGAAGATAATCCAATATTATTAAGCCGTTAAAAACTGTGCACGAACGAGACAGAGCAATAAAAAATCCAATGCAATTTTGAAAGCTTGAAAGCAAATCAAAAATTTATTTATGAACAATATAAGTACGCTATAAAATTTTATTTAATATTTTAATTGATTTTGTAGGTTTATCCTACTTAATTTAATTCTTTATTTATTTATTAAAGCAAGAAATAATTACTAAATTTTGTGTGTTGAAATTACACGTGTCTGTTGTTTTATTCTTAGTTTTCCCAAACCGTAAAAAGAATGATAACCTTATTTTTAATCAATAAAAAATATCATTAGTTTTTAAAAATTTTCTTTTATGGCCAACTCATCTTATTTTCAATAATTTACTTGTCCGTGTTTGCATGGCCAACCCATATCATTTTAAACATTAATGTGAATATGCAACCGCCACAATTTAATTAATTTTGTTAATATTTTAGAGCCATATATCAGATTAATTTATTTTAAATAATTTCTTAAATTTGTTTAAATAAAAGCAAAATTTTTATTACTCGCCTAAACATACTGACCTGAACGTTGATGATTAGATGCATTCGGCAGCTCCGAAGTGTGGGAAAAAGCAACAAGTTGCTTATTATAGTCGCTTAGTGAGATGTTGATCTCACTGTTGCTATCTGTCAAATGTTATGAACAAAATTTCCATAAGTGCGCATCATGCAAGCAAACGACATTTTACATAAAAATGTATATTTTTTATATAAAATTGAAAGTTGAAATAAATAACGAATTAAAAGTCATGTTCAGAATGCAAGAAATTTTGAAATTTCTTTTTACAACAAAATGAATAACAGTTTAGCATATTTATCCCTTTGTAAGTATTAACTTAGTAACTTATAAGTTAAAAAAATTTAAAGTGCTTTTCAAATATACTTTTTTCATGTATTCCTATAAGTTTTTGATGTATTTATGTATATATTTTTGAAATATATGTTTTTCACAATTTCATGTATTTTTAAAATAATTCATTTCCATGATTTCAAATTTGTGAAACTTTAATTTAGTTTGAATTTTTGTTTACAAACTCCTGACAGATAATTGGAATTTTTAATGAAAGAACGCAATAGATCGCTTGTCGTTTAAGAAACATTTTTTTCTGAAGTTTTTCTG